CTTTCGAACGTTGTTCCCCTCACTCTCTCTTCTCTCGCGACTAAATGTTTCAACGACGGCCCCTCGGCACTGGCCTGGACTTCAGGAACAACCCACTCATGTGCTGCAGTGTGGTGTCAACGTTGGGTATCTGTATCCGTACGGATACCTACGGTCAAGGGGGCAGCCGCGGCGTGGCAAGGTGACATCCCCAAGTTCTCGACCACTGTTTCTTAATGTTTCCATGGGCGCACAGTTTGTTCAATGTTACATCGCAGCCAGCCGCCATGGACGCCGGGCGCTGGTTCATCCGATCAAAGAAAAAAAGAAAAAGGTTGAAGCAAAAGAAGCACTGGAATATGTCCTGTCTTTCCAACGCGGCAACGAGTCGTCCACATTCCAGCAATACGTCGCAGGCCTCCGCGTAGCACAGAATACATTACTGAATGTGCGTAAAGATTGGAGGCTGACAAGCAGGTACCCGTTCTATGTGCACTCTCTGGGCCCCCCCGGAGCCACCGGCTGATCGTCATTCTTTCACATCCAGGATTCCCAAGGAGGGGTGTTCAATGGTGTTCGGACCCTGGCACTGCCTGGGCCTCTTCTTCCCCCCTTGGACTATCACACTCTTGACTAGCGAAAAAAGCTGGAGCCCTCTTCCCAGTTTCCGCGTGTTTCAAGGAATAAGCACCTGTCCGACGGTTCGTCTAATCATGCAATGCCGGGGAAGGAAACAAGATGACATTGTGACAAGCGACAAGGCAAGTTGGACAGAGAGATTTGAGCCCGTGGAGAGACGGCGAAAGGTTGGACGAGCGGACAATGGCAAGGACATGGGACGGAGTTCACTGGGGGCCAAGGAGGCGTATAGTCGAGCCTTTTACCCGTCTGCCATCTGCCGCGGTCGAGCGGTTGTCGCGACAAAACAGCAGGGTACATCCACTGGCAAAGACCAGAACAGACCAGACCAACCGCAAAGAAATCGGTATCGGTAAGGCTCAAGACACATGTGATGGACTCAAGGCTTGGCTACACAGTACGCAGTATGGATATTGACTGATACTACGGAGTATATGATGCTTGCTGACTTGGCAAGACTTTACGACTTTCGGCTATATCCTGCCGCCCCCGAATTCCAGGATCCATGGCCTGCGCCTCGGTGCCCACCTCGTGTTGTCCGATCTTCTTTCCACTTCCCGACAACCCAATAGCCGTCCATACGACGATGGTTTCCTCTCAGTCCCAAAACGAGTCACGACGTTACTGGCTCAATGATTGGGCAGAACGATTGACGGCTTACGTTTCCTCGGCATCCAGTTCCGCTTGTCTGATGTCTGGGTAACGTGCAGTAGTTCGCCCTGCTTGCCCTGACTAACGACTTGACTTCGAGACAACGACAGTTTTGGGGTCCTGGGGGCGGATAGGCGAACAGCCAGCAAACATCAAGATGGTGGATCGATCGAGCCTTGTTGGAGGGTCAGGAGGGGGCCACGCCCGTATCAAGGAGTCGAGCCTATCCCCTTGAAGTTTTCCAAAGCAAGCCCGGCCCGCCAGAAATGGCCCGAAGCACGTCTTTTTTTGCGCGGATTGTCCCTTGGCGGACCGGTGCCAACGATGCAACGAGCAGGTAGGCCAAGAGGCTGCGCTAACGCATCCAACGGGCTATTCTTGCACTCCCCCCCATGGACCGTTCAAGTTGCTTCTTCTGTCTTGGTACATTCTTTTTCCGGACGTCCAGCCCCAAAGGCAGGGCCAACGGTTGCCATCGAGTCAACCAGTGACGACTCACGACTCGCACAGAAAAAAATGCAGAGAAACTGCCTTGGCTAGGGGATGATGATGGATGACTGTATCCGTCCGAGCCGCAGGGACGGGCCACCAGTACCACTGGGTTCTTCTCTTCCATCCTGCCTGATCCATCTTTGGGTGAACGGTGGAGGACTACAGTCTTCCCCCACTTCTGCTTTTAATTCCCTCTCGGGGCTTTTGCGACTTCTGTAGGACGCTACCCATCCCTACGGTGCGGCCTGGTTGTGCCTGGACAGCGCTTCCATGCCCTCTCAGGTACCGATGGCACCGTTAGCAGCTCCTTCGTCACTTGGTTGGGCGAGGGGATGGTGGCATTGGATGGATGGTGCCAGCGCTAGCAGGACCTGCAGGCCTCCTCCACCCCGCACCCCCCCTAAGCCCTGCTTTCCTCGCCCCCCTTCTTCCCACCTCACCCAGTCTCGCCAGTCCCGAAGTGGCTCACCTGTGCCTGTGGGCTGTGGCCTGCCCTGGTTGTTGCTGTCCAGGACTCCAACGTCGTGTTTGTGTGTGGTTTGTACTTCGTACCCATCATCTGTTGTAGTCTTTGCCTGGCATACAAATCCCGGTCGACATCCGCTTCCCAGTTTCGTACATCTTTTTCGATCTTCCTTTTTTCTCTCTTTTCCTCATCCAACAACGTTCCCTCTTGTTCGACCACAAAACTCATTCATTCATTTTTCTTGGACCCTTGAGCCGTGCTCGACCAACTATCAGTCCTACCAATTCATTCCTTCAAAGAAGACTGCTTCGAGGTTCATCCAAACTACCAACCAACGGATTCATCCCGTCTTTGTCGTCACACAGAGAGTTCAGTGAACTCCCCTTTTCATCCCAACTCTACAGAAACAGCCTGCCTCAAAACATCAAGTACATGCCAAGCACTGCTCCGAGCTCCCATCGACAACCTTGAACCCAACCAGGCTTTCCCACGCTGTAGCAAGCACATTCCCTGATCAAGAGGCTTAGCCCATTGCATTCATTTCGCTTCCAACTCCACCTTGACGGAAAGGACGATCACCAACTATACTATCAAGAGACCGTATAAGTCTCCTGAATCACAACAACAAAACTCACTTCGAATACCAACCAACAGTCTGTCACCAGACCAAAATGAAGACCGCCACCTTTCTCTGCGCCGTCCTGGCTACCACTGCCATTGCCCAGCCCCATCAGCATGGAAGCAAACGCCGCCATGTCCACGGCAAACACCAGAAGCGCGAAATGAAGACCGAGTGGGTTTACGAGACCGTATGGGAGACCGTATACGCCGACTCAACTTCCACCGTCTGGGTTAGCTCCGACGTCCCGTCCACCAGCTCCGCGCTCCCTACCACTTCTGTGCCCGCCCAGTTCTTCGAGCCCGCCGACCAACCGTCTTACACCACCCTGTCAACCTCCACGAAACCTTCCGCCGTTGCTTCCCCCATCAAAGAGTCCATCCAGCAGCAAGCGCCCGCTCCCGTGCCCACCACCACATCTGCGCCCGCCCCTGCTCCCCAGACCCCGACTCCCGAGCCCGTCCCGACTTCGACCTCTGTCTACGTTGCTCCGGCGCCGGTTCCTACCACGTCCACTACTCCGGCGCCCACCCCCCAGCCTACTACCAGCCAGGCCGCTCCCGCGAGCACTTCGGCTGCTTCTGGTGGCTCCGGCGGTGGTTCCGGCGGTGGTTCCGGCGGCACCACGCACACTGGTGACCTGACTTACTACGCTGTTGGTCTTGGCGCATGCGGTGAGGACGACAGCGGCAAGGACAACACCGAGAACATTGTTGCCGTCTCTCACTTGGTTATGGGTGCCCAGTCCAACGGCAACCCGTACTGCGGAAAGAAGGTCCAAATCACCTGCGATGGCAAGACTACCACTGCTACCGTCCGCGACAAGTGCATGGGCTGCAAGGCGGACGACATTGACGTCAGCGAGAAGGCCTTCCTCGACCTCTTCGGCAGCCTCGGCGTTGGCCGTGGAACTGTCGAGTGGAAGTTCCTTGACTAAGAGGCACAATGATGCGCGCTCTCGCTCCAGCGCCAAGGCCGTTCAGGGGGTTCTACGGGTGCTTCATCGTCTTTTGCCATGCCGCTTCCCAGTCCACCCCCACCATGGCAATTTCTTCAAGACAGCCATCCTTCACTCGAATCTCAATAACAAATATGATTATATTTCACCCCCTCTTCAACGGGGACGGCGCCTGGTTCACAGCACGGGACTGGATCGGATAACAAAAGGACAACGAACAAAACCACGGTTTTGATGATGTGATGACGAATATCTCTATACCTGTGGATGCGAATCCCATTCTTGGGTCCATCATGGGCGGATGCATTTGGTGTTCTGTTTGTGGATATGCTTGTCCACCGGTCAGTTTCTAAACTTAACTTTCAATGTATATATCTATTAGGGGAGTCCACCCCCATGTGGTACTCCCCGACTGGGCTATTGGAACCAATGTGGTTTCCAGGACGAAAATAAAAAGTACAAAAAACCCCATCATTGGAACTCGATCTGCACTCCAAACCTCCGCGTTTCCTAGACAATCGGCCGAGTGACTGCTCTCTTCCAGGTCTTGGCATTCCACATGTCTGAGAAACCTCGCAAGTGTCTTCGCAATGACATTTGATGCAAGTATCACTACGCGAGGAGGGGCAAACAGCCTCCCACTGGTTCGCAAAATGACACCAGTCGGCATTTCAACGGCCAGCTCAGGTGACATTCAAAGAAGAAAAGGCAAATATCGCCCAGCCTGGTAGAGACATTTGTTACCGTGGCTGCCTTAGCCGTGGAGACCCCAAAGCCCATCTCGAATTCTAGAGTCTGCGGAGGCGATTGTCTCTGATGGACTTCTTAAACTGTTAAGTCAGTGTCTCGGTCCGCAACGATCCGGATCGTCCTGGGCCAGTCCAGCGAGCCGGGGCGGTGTTCAGCATTCCTTCCTCCGTCTGCGCCCCCTTCGCCTTTACTTATTTAGTAAAGTCAGGTTTCACGAGGCGAGAGCATTCCACGGAGGAGTGATGTTCCGTTGAGGTGGGAGAATAGAGTCTAGATGGTTAAGTCATTGCCATAGTGTAGGGGGGATTCCTGCTCGTCCCTGTGTGAGAGTTGCGCTGTGATGGAGGACGCTGTTCAAAAAAACTCGCAGACAGACCTTGTCTTTTATACGCCCTATCAAACGTTGGCAGATGCAGCCAAGGTAATGTAGACAGCGAATTCAACATCTACAACAAGAACATGTCCAAGTCATCCATCTCCTTGATGGAAGGCAAAGCCCTCGCCTTCTCAGCCCTCTCCTCGCTAACCAGAAACTCAGCCGGAAGCTTCTCTTCCTCGCTGTACTCCTTCGCCTCCCCGCCGCTGCCCCCCATCATCATACCCGCCACAGCCCGTCCGCACAGCGCGGCCTGCGGCATCCCGTGCCCTGTATACCCGGCGCAGACCCACAACTCTTCCCCGCCGCCGAGGACGGCCCCGGCGGGCACCTGTCCGACCCACGGCCGTCCGTCGCGCGAGAAGGCCATGATGCCCGTCCACTCGTGACTCGCCTCCAGCTCCTTCTTGCTGTTGTTGGCGCTGTTCTCTTCGTCCTGCGCCTGCGCCTGCCCCGTTCCCGCAGCGGCAGCAGTATCAGAAACAAGATCCAGGTTCCCCGCCCCAGCCCTTCTCAAATACCTCGCAACAACAGCATCAACCTCGTCATCATCAGAAATACCCACCCCGCGCACCGTGCCCCTCGCCCGCCCACCGCCCAGAATCATCTCCAGCCCGGGACTAGGCCGCTGGATCAGGTAATCATCCTGGTTCGGCTCACCCTTGTCAGCATCGGAGCTCGCCATGAAGACGTAGCTCCTCCCGAGCTCAGCGCGGGGGCGGGGCGGGAAGAGGGACGCGACTTGGCCTCGTACCGGAACGACGAGGTCAGCGAACCGGGGGAGGAGGCGCGAGGTGTATGCGTTTGAGGCGAGGAGGACTTGTGCGGTTGCAATTTGGCCGCGCGGGGTGTGGAGGATCCATGATGGTGTGGAGGAGGAGGAGGAGGAGGAGGTTGTGGGTGGGAGGTGCTGGAGGCGGATTACGGGCGTGGAGGTCTGGATGTTGAAGGAGACGACATCTTGCTCGTGTCCCCCACCTGACAAGGCGTTGTCATCCCCGACCTTGTCGACCCCGAACCGCCGCAGCAAGTCCTCAAAGATCCACGCAACGAGCTTGTACGGCCACACGCTCGCCGCCTCCTCCTGCACGACGGCGCCGACGGCGTTCGGGATTCGGAGGCGCGCGAGTTCCTCTGCGTCAGTGACGAGGCGCGCGAGGGATGCGAAGCGGGGCGGGAGAGCGGCGATTTGCTTGCGGGCGGCGTCGACGAGGTCGGGCGTCAGGAGGGCGTGGACGCCGCGGAGGGGGACCCAGTCGCAGGGGATGGCGTTGCTGGCGATGAGGTCGCGGAGGTGAGCGTAGTTTGCGAGCTCAAATGTTGCGATGGCGGTGTTTGGGTTGTAGGCTACTGGTTGGCAATGGCCGCCGTTCTGGATGGGTGATGTTAGTTTTTTGATGATTTCTTGGGATGGTAAGGAGGAGATTTGGGATGTTTATGCGGATAAAAAGGCGTTGAGTGAGTGAGTGAGTGAGGCGATGGTATGAACCAGCGCTCTCATTGTGAACTCGCCCCCCTCTGAACCCCTTCAGACGACGAAAGAATGTCCATGACGAGACATTCTCAAATCACACGAAATCCAAAAGAACTCACCCGCCCAGTAGCTCCCCAACAAACCTCTCGCGCCTCAAGCAGAACGACCCTCCTTCCCTCCCCGGTAGTGCCAGCCCGCTCCAGCAGCTCCTTGGCAGCAAAAGCGCCCGTGATGCCGCTGCCGACGACGACAATGTCCGCGGTCGGCGGCAGGTCCCTCGTGGTCCTGTGGCCAAGCAACGTCTTGGAGGGCTCGCGGTGCCAGTATGACGCCGTGCTCTTAGCCGAAGGGAGGTCGGCTTGGCCTGGTTGGGGGGTTTCGCCAGTCATTGTGTGTGCTGTTGATGTTCCCGGTTTGGGGGTGCTTCGGGTCTCTTATCGGGTTGAGGGGTTGATGATAAGCCTTCCTAAAGCCGCGATGTGACGTTTGTATGTTGTGGAATAGATGCCAGAGACTTGTCAGTATCAGCCCGGAATTCTCTGTGAGATGCACTTGTTTATATTGAAGTTGGGAGCTGTTGGCCGCGTGGACGGTTTAGTCATGTGGTTGAGTGAGCAAAGTGGTGGTGGTGGTTGATCATCCGTCGCCGCACATGTGAGGTCCGGTCGGCCTTGCCCCTCCGGCCCTCGCACTCCTCCCACCGTACGAAAGCCGAAACGCGGCATCAACGACACACGTCCGCAGCGTGCGTCACGGCTGCCGTGTAGATCCACGTAATGCTGGCAACTACGGATACGCGTTTCTCAGACAAGCCAAAGATACGAAGATCATCAAAAGATTTGACATTACTGCCCGATTACCGTACCAATTTTAAGGGTGGAAACGCCAATTTTCTCTATTTTGCCATCAATCCATTGGCCACCCGGAGCGCCGCAGCCGTGAATGCCGCAGTGCACACTGCCTGGGCCAGCGAAGGTCATATCTACAAGACAAGAGTACGCTAAAGGACGTAAATAGCGTAGAAGAAACACCTCTCCAACTCTTTTCTCGTTTCTGGCCTGTGGGGTCGTGATTTGGTTGTCGTCGCTTAACCCTGCATCTTTCTTCTCTTTCCGATCTGGGCGGAGAAACCGGTCTTGATGGCGGTGACGGAACGTCTCGAACCGCAAGAGTTGCAAGTAATGAAGTATAGACGGTTCTCTCCCTTGGACAGCTCGGTGTCGGCGGACTTGCCTGAGGTCGTTTGTCAGTAATCGCAGCGAGACGCAAATGGTGGGGTATGAGGTTCGTAAGCTTACAGGTCTTGCAGGTGACGTACTCGACTATAGGGAAGAAAAGAACTTTGGTTAGCATCTACGCGGCAGCAAAACGACAGGGGCAAAAGAGCATGGACTCACTAATGTACTTGCGCAACACGTTCTCGAGCTGCTTCTGCTGGAAACGACCCTTGATAACAAGGCGTCTGCTTCCGTCGACGGAACCACTGGTACCCAACTCGGAGAAGAGGTAGGCCGTGACGTGCTCCTCGGTTCTCTTCATGCGCTTGCAAATCTCGGCAATGTTGGCGAAAATGGTCTTCTTGTTGCCTTCGCGCATGCACTGCGGGGGCGGGATCTTGTAGCTCTTGGAGCCGCTGAGGGCGTGGTCGGGGTTCTTCTGAGACAGCTGGTGGAAGAAGCGGTTCAGAAGCAGGCTGTAGCTGAGGGCCTTGGTCTCGTCGTGCTGCCAGATACCGGTGCCTTGGTCCATGTCGCCATCGTCGGCGGCGCCCTCGGCCTCGGCGCCGTCCTCCTTGCCCTCGAGCTCAAGGGCCTTGAGCTTAGCGGTGAATTCGTCATCCTCGCCGCCCTCGGTAGCCTTCTTGCTGCTCTTCTTCTTCTTCTTCTTCATCGTCAGGTCGAGACCATCCTCGCCAGCGGCAGCCTCCTCGGCGTCGTCACCTTCCTTGGGAACCTTCTTCTTCTTCTTTTTCTTCATTGACAGGTCAAGGCCGCCATCTTCAGTAACATCGGGGACAGGGGCCGTCGCGTCTTCGGCTCCAGCTTGAGAATTGGCATCAGCATGTAAGGCTTCAAGGGCTGCGGTAAGCGGCGGCGTACGGGGCGTGTGCGACTGGGCTGTCTCCTTAGGTTCCTCGGTGGCGTTGACCATCGTGACTGAGCCGTCGGCGTCGACTACTACTTGTTCGTCTGTAAAGGCGACGGATTTGCGCTGTTTGCGTTCGGGAGCGGGAGTGGTATCCTGTGGGGAGGCACCTATATTAGAAGACGATATTCAATGATTGTTGGTTTTGTTTTTCTCCGTTTGAGGAATTGAGAAAAAAACAAAAACTGGATCAGTAGAAGAGGGGACGGGGGGGTCGAACAACAGTCAGGTGGTGATGATGTCTAGCAGCTCGGGCGGTTTGACAGAGGTTGAGTCACGGAAAATGTTCTGTTCAATTCGTGTCTGATTCCGGTTCGCAGTGGGGTAATTAAGCATGGGATTGGTGGAGGGGCCAGTGGGTGGTGGTGCTCAGAAGTGCGCATGAGGGAGGGCTAGCAACGGAAACTTACTGCGACATCCATGATTGCGGCCTGTGTCTCACTGAACCGAGTCTCGGTTAGGTATCCTGGGGCGGCGCCTGGTGATATCCTTGGGCTGATAATCTGGGCTGGTCCACGGTGCGAGTGAACAAGTCTACTGTCGGCGCGATATGGTGCAGAAATCTAAGCGACCGGTCTGGGAAATGGCGGAAGGAAGCTGTCTGTGGTCCGTCACAAAATGGTTCGGTAATGAGAATTTGTGAGAGCAGAGTTGAGAATTGGCTGCAGCAGTTGGGAGATTTTCTTGAGGGGGTGTGACGTGAGGGTGGTGGAAGACGACCATCTTTGCCCACTGTAAGGTAGCGGCTGCGCGCCCGACAGGTGTGAGTGCCCAGGCTGTGACTCAGTGATTGTACGTATCACGTGACTCAATTGTGACTCTCTCCGTCTCTGCCTGTTGCCGTTATGTCCCCCTGTTTCTCGCCCTCCAACGTCAGAGGGACCCATCAAAAGTGAGCCCCCAAAGCCAATCAGAGTTGAATTTCCCGACTGTCTGCGAGTGACCGTCCCGACTGCCGTTTCTGGTTGAGGAAACGGGGGGAGAGCTCCAGACGTTCCGATCTCCGCTGTTGGCCCATTCAAGCTGCACCAGCATAGACCATTGGAGAGGCATCGCGGACCTTGAATCAATCCTCTCCAGCGAACGCCCATCAAGAGGGTCGTCTTGTATCACAACAGCTTCGAGTATCAAAAGAACGCGAACCAAAGCTAAGCTCTGGCTATTTCCGAGAAGCAGCGCGCCGACCGAGCTCGATACCCTCTTCCCCCGATTCCTTAGACGCTCCTTCACCTAAGAACCGAGCTTCCGACGACCAAGGGCCGACGACGCCTGCCATCCCCCGTCACGATGGCATCCACCGACTCATTCATCTTCCACGACGACGTCTCACCTTCCTCCGATAATGACGAGATCGACTCCTTGCCTTCAATATCGAGCAGCGTGCTAGACTCTGAGGATGAATCGGACGCCCAGGAGGAATGGGAGCGTAGTCTGGAGCAGGTTCAGCTCCTCTTAACCATGGTCATTGTACCCTTTGCCGGCAAATACTTTGGTCGCAAGTTTGCATACTGGAGTAAGCTTCCTTCCTTGGTTCCTCGACTCTTTTGATGTCGCTCAAAATGCTGATACGGTACATCCACAGGTTGGTCACGATACATGGAATGGATGCACAACGTCGAGGTGCGGTGGACGAACAAGGGCGCCTTCAAGGCCGCCGGCGTGGCTGAGGCAGCGGCAACATTATAAGAAAGCGCATTTGGGGCCCATGGGCTCTTGGAAAAACGAAGGACTTTGGGCATTCTACTACCAAGCCCATAACATCCTACATGGTGTTCGGCGTGTATACATGGTTGGCGTTGAGGGCAAGCCGTCATAGAAGACTATGCGGCACATTATGAGGCGAGGCATCCAGCCTGGCTGAGCAAACTAGATCTAAATCGAATACTTGAACGAACTGATAGTCCAACATGAGATCGCTATCAAGGGGGTAAAGGTCAACAGGTTCACGCTCAGAGTGGGGGTGGTCTCCAAGCGATCATTTTTGGAGCTGCAAATATTCACCATAACCTCTGATTCGGTAAGGCTGTCATTGATAGCGGAAGGAAGAGTAATTCTGTGGAATGGTATCGATTCGTTGATTTACTACAAAGAGCTGCTGATGGCTCTGTGGCCAATGCCCCGACCCCAAAGCGTTGAAGACCCCGCCGTATCCATGACAGTATATCCATGTCATCCCATGTCCATATCCTGTCATTCATTACTACAACATGCCATCGTGAAAGGTAAAGTAAAACAATAACCTGCCGCCAACGCCGTTAGGACTCATTGGACTTCCCGCAAGTCTTGCGTGAGCCAAATATCCTACCCAGCTGTCCTGCCCAATTCCGTACCCCGTGTTTTCTATCTCATTTGCAGTCCACGCCGCACAGTACTGAGAAAGACGAAGACTTAGACGCCGACCTGGGCCATGCTAGGGCGAGAGCTGCGAACAGAGCCGCCGCCGCGACGGAAGTTCATGAAGGTGAAGAAGCCTCCTGCGCAGAAGCTAGCGAAAAGGAACCACACAAAGACGGTGCTGGCCTGGATCTCGCGGCAGCGCTTCTCGTCGTCGCCGGAACCCCAGACGATGTAGTCGCTCGGCAAGTCGCTTCTGTTCAAAGAGCCGCAATTGACCGCGCGCAGCTTGGCGGAGAGAACAATGGCGTCAATGAAGGTGAAGAGGATGGCGGCGCCGTCGAGGGCCAGCATGGCAATGGGGATGGCGATGGCCGAGACAAAGGCGGCGGCGAGACCGTAGAGAGCTGCCAGCCAGCTGATGACGGCGACAAACATGGAGAAGTTGATGGCGGCCATGGCGGAGCCGGCGCTGTTGATGTTGAGGGCGATGACATTGCCGATCAGTGCTGTGAAGAGGAGGACCCAGAGGATTTGTACGCCTCGGACGAGGATCTGCAACATTGATTCCATCATGTTGGGCTGATTGTGTATTGGGTGTCGTGGATATTCGGCACAAGAGATCTCAGGTGTCTAGAGAACTTAGAAGCCCCGAGGACGGTGTTCTATGAGCAGTGGAATGTGGAATTGGTATCGATGACTGGCTTATAGCAGTGTCTAAGATGAAGCTGGATGCTGTGGTGTGCCTGGTGCTTGATGAAGATGGTGAATCTTTACTGGTGATATTGCCAACCCAACAATAAGACGTTGATTTTGGACTGTAGCTGAGTGTGTGAGATGTGGAGGAGGACAAAGTCGAACAGAGTCTTAAAGGGTGGCGTGGGACAAATAAGACAGTTCTGGATCTGAACTTTGGTTGTCGGGTGATTAAGGTCGTGGCGGAAAAGAAGCCCCAATGAGCAGCAGACAAGGGTATCTTTAATAAGTTGGGAGGGTGGGATGGGATCGGTCAAGGAGGGTTCTTCCCAGGCAAAAGTCAGTCGGACATGGATGGAACCTAAGCCTCTAAGGTGAAGAAGACTCTTCGGCACCGAGCATGGACATTTGCGCTGACTGCTGCGGAAGCTGCGCGCGGACAAGAGTGCAGCCAGAGCTTCGATGATGGATCGGCACTTGCGGGAACTATGACCTCACCAGCCAATGTCTTGCCTTCACGCGCGCAAAATACAACACAACAAGACACAGCACTAACACGGTACGTTCCTCACCTTACCTTCACCTTCCGTGCTCTGGCACCTAAGCCTCTGCGAATACGTACTCACCTAGGTACTCTACATATTACCTTACCTTTACCAAGGTAGGTAAGTTACTCAAGGTACAGAACATGCCGGTAGGTAGGGCGAGCTTTCTGCATTGCATTGCTGCTTCTAGCTTAACATTGCTTGGGCGCCTGACATGCCTAACGCGGTCCAATGGCATCATCCAAGGGTCCAAGACGGTCCCGACGATGCCGCTAAACAGCTTGGACGAGACCGCGTTCAGCCCAACGAATCCCTGGGACGTCCGCGACCGTCATACATTTCGCGCCCACCGAGCTTGCCCCGTCCTGACGGATAGGGCAATACCTATCCAACTGGCAATAGCTAGCTTCTGAAACCAAGGCAGTAGAACCTTGCAGGGGAGGGAGTAATTCGGAGCTGAGAGAGGAGAGCTTTCTTTACAGATGGTGGCGCGTTTCTGGTGGCGCCTCTCCCGACGTGCCCGAAAAAGCGTGGCCCACTGGAGCCATTTCTCATTCAAACTTGTGGACTGTTGGGAAACTCTTGGGAGGCCGCAAGCAAAGCCGCAGCAGCGCTCGTGGTTGCGCGGCTCTCATTGGCAATTGTGGCTCTGTTCTTCTGCCTTCCTGGCATGCAGGGTTCATCAGTTTCCCATTCAGCTTTCCTGTTGGATGGATGGAAGGAAGGGTGAACAGAAAAGACTTTTCTCGGTCCTCGAGCCCTGTCAACTCTGTCAGAATCCTTCCCTACGGATACTGTAATTGTACCGTAGTTTACCGGCGGGGTGATGCCGGTTGGCAGGTGAAGGGCCTCGTAGTCCCCCTCCCACTTCTTTGGGATCCTGGGATCCTGGAAGATCCTCTGCCCCTCCTTCTTTCGCCCTTGTCTGCGCGTGTATCTCCCGGCCCCTGCAGCAAATCCCTTCCCCCTCTTCCTGGCGATTCGCTGTTGCTTTGGGGAAAAATCGGCCGCAGCCCAGCAACCCCCAAGGGAAAACATCCCCCTTCAACCATCCACATCAATCGCCAACCCATCTAAGCCCTGGTCATTTTTGTTTCCAGACCCTGGTTTGCGATCGCTGCCATCCTATCAAACCTTGTGTAACGACTTCGGTGAAACCAGGTGAAGCCAGCATATCCCGCGCTCGGGAAACCTCGTCGCATCGAACTCTGACTGCCATCCATAAACAAGAACCTCACGGAACCTCATGTCAGGAGTCATGATAATCGAGGTAAAGAAGCAGAAAATGCAGGGGCACCAAAACCCCCAGTAGTTTCTCACAGACAGCCACACCCGCGTACCAATCAACAAGCTTCCGGCGTGGTGAACTCACGGCCGTTATCTACACCCTCAAACCAGCGCTACCAGCCCATGTCTGTTCCCTAGGTCCTCATAGAACTTTTGCCGTCGCTTGAAGGCGGCCAGTTCCTACTTATTATTAGCATCATGGCAATATTAGGGGTAAACAGAAACCCATTGAATTTCCGGACGTTTCTGTACTGATGGAGTTTACGAAAGACTCAAGCTACTAAGCCTTTGGGACCTAATTTGTTCCTAATCTATTACTCTTGAACTCTGACTAATATCATTAAGAACGTAACACGGAGCGATGAAAGAAAGTTCTTTGAAAAGACACGTTGAAAACCTCAACCTTCTAGTTTTGGAAGGATCGTAACCTTTATTTCCCTCGCAGCTCCCTAACTTTCGGCTCCTGAGACGTATATACAGTTGCATCCCTAAATATCGGGTTAGTGACCCAAAGTGATTCCCTACTTAATCCATGATGGAAAAGAAATCATTACACGTTTGTTGTCAAAAAAGCTCATAGTAATGTAGCTCCAAGTTACCCTCCACACTGCTGCTCTGGGATCGTGACGCTTACAATAATTGACTCACACCCAAATATATCCGAATATCGCGAGTCACATATCCAGATCCCATGGCGTCATGGCTACCAAGCAGCTATCAAGCTACTGCCGCATAAAAAGAATTATAATTTCTCTAGCGTGGAAACTATGAGCTATTGCTTCTAAGCCGCCTAAGAGTGCTAAGTTAGGGAGCAAAGCAGAGCAGACAGTGACACACAGACACACGCCATGGGTTCAGTAATTAGTTCCGAAGCCAAGCCGGGCACTTTCGTCCTAAGAAAGTGCGCCAGGAAAGGAATCATGACGTTACTCGACTCCAATGTGTCTACGCACGGTCATGAGATTTCGATCTTGGTCATTCACATCCAAAAAAAATTTACACCCACATCTAATCATGTTCTTGGCGATGAACTAAGAGTCCTTAACCGATGTGTATCACACCAAAGATGACCTCCCCTGCTATTGACCCTTCCACCATGTATGACCCCGATGCCATAGCCGTAGCTATCCCGTTGTTGCATTTCCCGCGTATTCCGCGTGTCTCTCAACCTAGAAGTTGGAGAAGGGAAAGGAAAAAAACCACCGCCCCCCCTCCCCTCCTCAGATTTTGGAGAAACTGTGTCGTGTGCTCTACCGGCTAAAGTTCAAAAGTCCCTCAATATACTTCCGTGTATCAATGCCGATCCCCGACGCAAGACGGCCCGCGCCGTCACCGCCCCACCCCGATCCCGTCAACCCTATCCCGCCCTCGGCAAACGACGAGCTGACGCCGCGGTAGCCCGCGTGATCGCTCGCCCTGCGGATCAAGAAAATCTCCTTGCTGACCGTCGGGCTCGGCGGCGGAGGTGACAACGGCCGCGCCGTGCTGGAGCCGTCGCCGCTCGCGGGGGAAACGTCCCTGTCAGATGTCGATGTGTCGTCGTCCTCGTAGGTATGCGTCGGCTGATATGCTTCACCGCTGGTGGTCGCAGTGTGTCGGTTCAGGATGCGCTGCCAGACGACCCACCAGCCGCGGTTGGTCTTACAGGTTCTCTCGAGCTGGTTCATTTCCGGCCGGGTAAGGTTGAAAATGTTGAGGAGTTGCATGTGTGTGTTCATGGCCTCCACCCTTGACCACGGTGATTGTGCGTTTGATAGGAACGCTTGTGCATGATCCGGAATATTCGGGATAGTCGAATGCACCGTCATAGCCTCGGCGTCCCAAATAAGGTCGTAGATGATGGACGTCGAGGAACTAGCCTCCGGCCTCTCCGGCCGATATTGGATGGAAGATAAAAGCGGCTTTCGTAAAGGTGCCAACTGGAAGTGAAGAGATTTGTAGAACGAATTCCAGGCCAGCGAGTCGGTCCTCAATTCAAAGATAAAGGTGAATATGAAGGGTTTGTTCACGTATACGACGACGCGCATCTTGCTTGCTTTGTTTGAGTCCTGGTTTCCAAACGTTGGGTTCGAGCTCACGGCGTTGGCCCCGAGAGGCGTCACATCGTTCGTGAGGTTGCCGAGGTTCCTCACGACATCTGCCTCTAGGCGATTCGTACCTACTTTATCAAGTTCAATGTGTACGGTGCGGAGCATAGTACGAGAGTTCGACTCTGTTTCAGCTGTCTCGTCTGAGGCTCCGTTCTCCTCATCGCCACTGCCCTCCTCTACATCGCCCATCATGCCGATGAGATAGTGTCCCTCGTCGTCATTCATCTGCTTTGGTTTCACATGCGCAGTCGCCGCGGCCTTGGATGACTCCCCAGTCTGAAAGGCAGCAACGGCAGATAGTTGGCTTTTGACGGCAGAGGAAGAAGCATCCGTTTTGCCGATTGACCAATATGTGCCGTAACCCAGCTTCATGACCGTCATAAGTTTGTCCATGTGGCCATCGCCCTCTGCTTGTGTTGACGTAGCTGTAGAATCAGTGGCGGCGTCAGCGTCGGCGTCTTTAGGAACGGAGGGCGAGTTGTCCTTGGTGGAACTCGGCATTTTGGCCTCTTTCACGGTTCCAATCTCAAGCCCACGCCGCTCAGCCAGCGTTCTTGTTGATGTCGAGCTACCGGAACCAGACCCAGAATTTGATCGATGAGCGCTGGGACGAGCAGGTGGCCGTACTGCTGGCTTCGCCGCAGGCGTCGGGGCCGGGGCTGGTTTGGCTTCCGGCGCCGGCTCAGCTTTCTTTCCCCGTCGGCCAGCACGAAGTGATGTCGGACTGTCGATCACACCGTAGGCGTTATCTCCCCACGTATACAAGTCTTCCATCCACAGGCTCACGTCTCTCACTGACTTGCGAGACAACGCTCCTGTGCCCAGAAATATCGCGCCGTCTTCAGGACCTGGATCTTGTCCGGTACCCAACCAGGACCTCTTCGGCTCTTTGCCGTCTTTTGACTCCCCATCGGCATCCAGGGATCCGAATTTTGAAACCACAATGTCTTTGAGACCCTCAATTCTAGCGACGAGGCTTTCCAACACCTCTCGTTCTCCACTGCCGCGCTCCTCTTCGCCGACGCCTATGCCCAGTTCGCCAGAGGCAGCGATATTGATGCCGCCAAATACTGTGCGAATCGGGTTCCCTTGTAACATTACGTTCCAAGTTGACAAGAATAGGTCCCAATATCGACCAAGCAGGCTGAGGAAATTGGTCCTTCGGGAGCGTACAAACAGAGCACTGAGTGAGGTGCCATGATGAAGCAGAAAGATGGTGTGAGCACGGAGCAGATCCTGCAGCAAAAGGGATGAGGGCTTAATTTCCTTAGACGAAAACTCGACAACCGCTTCTGGAGTTTCTTGTGCTTTCCCTGTCTGGAGCTTAGGCGGCAGAGGAATGCGAGTGAGATCGATAGACTGTAGACAATCAGCAAAAGAAAGCAAGTTGGTGTGAGGTTGAACGCACAGCAAGAATCCACCAGTCTTGCTCCAGCTCATGGAGGATCACACGAGTCTTATCCGTGTCGATGGAGTCGACAGGCTGGCCGCCGGAGAAGCTTTTGCTGAACTCGACCATGCCCTGAGCAAGACCGATCTGACGAAGACGTTCATTGCGCTCTTCCTGAGACACATTCTCGGTGGGCTTGGTACGTGAGCGATGACGCTTTTTATGTCGCTGGGTGCTGACGGAAGAGTAGTAGACAATTTGATCGTCAAGAGTCTCATCGGAATGACCCAACGACGGGTTAAATATGGCAAGGAAGCCCAGCTGAGCCGGAACGATGCCACCCGGTGACAATGCCATGGCCGTTTTGGTTGCAACGGGGTTCACCGTCCCGTCAACGGCGGTTTACTGAGAGCGGGGACGGAATGCCGTGATGCCCAGATCCATAAACCCCGAAGAGACGGGTGCAACGTCGGTGCGGCGGGGCCAAACGGTGACAGCAAACGCCGACGACGGAAACCAGATCCCCCGGCTCGTGAGGTGGCTTCCAGAAGGCTGCCGAGCGTTTCTTCTTACGCTCTAACAAGCGTAAAGAGCAGCAGCAGCAGCAAGCTAAGCTGAGGCGCAGAGGTGAGGTAGATTTAAGATACCGGTATTCGAAAATGAAGCCGGTGTTACTGATGGTGACAGTTAGCAAGGGTAAGCTCGAGGCCGAGGCTG